CATGTGTCTAAATTTTTATTACAATTATGAAGAAAGACCTACATAACTTATAATTCCTATTAACTAAAGGATTTTATTCTTATCCCTTGTGGAGTTTTTAACTTTGTAAAACCCTACAGTATAAATTGTTATTTACATTTTAAGTTCAATCATCTAAGAGTTAGCAAAATAATGCTTAAGAAAACTATAGCAGTGATAGTACTTTTTGCTTTACAAAAGAGGAGTATCTGATCCAACATTTATATGAAAAAAGAAGGGTGACTGTGTAATTAGATGATTATACTGTACATTTCAGTTAAAGAAAAAAGCTTGGAGTATATTCACTATAAAGGAGGAATTTTTCAAGGACAATGCAGATTATTTCTAGCATTTACTAAGTTTCTCTTGGTAACACTTCCACTTATTTCCCAGTATAGGAAATATTTCCAGCACAGTGTGAAGTGCTGTTTACTTTTTAAGTACATTTAAAATAATAATAAATTCAGCATATTCTTTCAGTGTGGATGTGCTTATGATCCGAAACATACCAAACTAAATTATTCATTCTTCTCAATCCCACCACAAACATTTTACAAAAATCAGTGAAAATGAATTCCAGATCATTAAAGGGAAAGATGAATCTGGGAGTCCCTGTTTTAATGTTTGTCTGAACTATAAGTTAAACCCTTAAGTCTTTCCTCGTACACAACTTTTCAGCCATATCAGAAAATAACTCTTCAGATCTTACACTCAAATGATACAGTTATACTTTTCTTTCCTGTATTAAGTTTTTCTTCCTTTCCTTTTTCTTTCTTCTTCTTTTTTAAGCAAGTCACTGTACAGATACTTATTCTCTACACCACTTCCCTTTTGAAACATTAAACTGACACTGGAACTGACTGCACAAGATTGCATTTTCTCTTCCTAAACAACTTGAATTGAAAGGTTACTTAGTGTAACAATATTTACTTGCAGAATTGTGTTGTTACCAGGGGTATAATGGATGGTGGCTATGCAGGTTTACGCAAGAATGAGTGAAGCATGAGGCATTAGCCATGTGTTTGACATGTTTCAAATTGCTATAATCCAGCATTAAACACACCCAGCAATTCATGCCATTTCTTGCAGCCATAATCTTGAATAAAGCGTGCACAACCACTTATTATATAAATTAGTATATGACTCCCTGTTATAGTCACAACAGTGCTTTTGTGTTTATTTTGCATCAAGATGTAGTCTTTTATTTGTACAAATAGCAGGATATAAAGACATAGCTCAATTAGACCTCCTTACTTTATGATAGGGTACTACTGAATGCTAGACTTGTTGGTTTTATTTCTTCCTCTTAGAGTTATAGGTTCTATTGGTATAAAACTGTATCATGTGAGATAGTTACATGCCAGAGTGATAACAGAAACCTGCATGTATCCTATTCCATATTTGCTGCAATGTTTAAAAGTTTGAAACTTGACCTGGGCAAGTATAGTTAATTGTGTTATCTCAGCCACCACCAGGGACACTATTGGTCCTTGTTGCTTACTCAACTTTTCTCTATGGTCTTCTTTCTCATCTCTTCTCCCTTCTTTTTTCTTATGCTCCCTACCTCTTTTCCACTCCATATTCCCATGTGTATATGTGTGCACATGAAAATGTGCATCTATATATATTTATAGAGAGAAAGATAGATCAATCAATCAGTCTATGTATGTCAAGGATTGTAAAGAAGGTAAAAGTAGCCTCTACTTTGCACCACACTCTGCAATCTACATAAACAGACACTCTGTCTTATAATCTTAGTGCCTTAATATTAACTCTCTATTTGTTGGGGCAGTCTTACTATTTAATCAAAACAAATGGATTTTTTTAAAAAAATGATTTCCCAGAAAACTAAGAACAAATAATAGTACTATAAAACATTTCTAACAATTTATTTTGTCAACTTTTCTTAAACAAAATTATTACAGTGACCTTGAAAGACACTTTATGTCTAATATCTGATTCATTCCAGTGTCCAATTTATTTAATCAAACATATGCATTAAATCCAAATAGTTTCGAATATGACATTTTAAGAAAAGTAAAGCATCAAATTAAAAACATATCTTCTTAAATACTTCCTTAATTATTGATCAATTATCAATATCAAATATTAAATATTTCTATGCAGATTCACATAAGGGTTAAATATTAAGAAAACTTAACCTATGTAACAAGAAACCACATACGTTCACCTGAAAATATTAGCTAAGTTCTAATTTTGAAAACTTGACTGTGATTTAAAACTTCTGAAAGAAACTAGCATTTAAATAATGATAACTCTTGTGCTCTAGTGGAATTAATTCATCATGGGCACCATGCATAGTGCATTTGAAATCCAGTACTGCTTTTCTAAAAGTCTTTAATGCTAAGATTGCCTAATAAATCAAAATGCCAAATATGAAGGATATAGTTGAATGTGTAAGAACAAAAATTGAAACAGCACATGAATATTTTCAATTTTTAAAAACTGAAACAGGATGTCTTTTAAAACATGATTTGGGGAAGGGTATCTGTTATAGCAAGTGATATTTTTATTATAACAAGTGACATAATTTCAAGTAAATTAAAATTACCTTATCAAGTATTTGTTACTACTTTTTACTTTTTTAAACAAAATGCCTAAAATGCTGTACACAAATTAAGGTTATCTTCTTAGGAAAA